ACACAATAAAAAACAAGTTATGGAATTGACTATTGTTGCGAATTTTTCTTTTGTGAGTTGTTTTTATTGTATTTGTGAGTATTTTTATCATTGTTATAGTACCAAAAAAATAATAAAAATAGTAATCATAACAGTGATAAAAACATCTACAAATGTGATAAAAACACCCACAAAAATAATAAATTTTTTTGTATGGAAGAAAAGTAATAAAAAAAAATATCACAAATGTGATAAAAATACCCACAAAAGTTATAAATCACCTATAAAAGTGATAAATTTTTTAATTGTAAAATGACCCATAAAAATTATAAAAATATCTTTTAAAATAGTAAATTTTGGAGGTATGGTAACAACTTTATTTTTTGTCTGTACAATAGTCAAATCCACAAGAATCTAACGTATTAATTGAATATGTCAAATTAAGATTAATTAATCTATATCTATATCTATACTACTATAAATTGTCAACAAAAGTGAAAAATTTTGATTGACTATGATAACTTTAATAAAATATTTAATGCCCATGCTATCCAACTTTTCACATATAATAGAAAAATTAATACTATTTATAATTGTGGGAGTTGGGTAGAGTATCGGACTTTTGTAATTAACAAAGAATAATGGATAATTCCCATTTTTTCAAACACAAATTATAATGTAATCCTCCAAGCTGCTAAACTTTTCAACTCCACACTCCACACTCCACCGGTCTTTCCTTCCTCCTCCTGCATCTCATTTTTACTCTTTGTCATATGTGCCTACTCAGGCCAACATTCTCATTTCACCTTCCTGTATTCAGCCATTGACTTATTAGGTAATCCCTCAATCTTCTTCTGTCTCTTGCATTTTAGGTTCACACCCTCTCTCTCCCTACCTCTTTTCTTTTGCATCTCCTGATTGTTGGAGATTAAAGTAAGTTAGCCCCTGAAAAACAATCAAAAGAGTCTTCTGGTATATTATCACACTGAATTCAAAGGAGGGTTGATTCACCATTTCTGGGGGGAAAAGAAATTAACCTAAAACTTTGATTCTTCACATTTTTAAATCATTTGCCAAACCATTTTTGAGACTGCAACGAAATTTTTGTTTTGTTTTTTTCTTTTGGGCATTTGTATTTGTTTGGTGGACATAAAAAAATGTATATTTTATTGATAAATCATAATTAGGAGCATGTCAATCAAATATTGTATTTAGGCCCTTCTAAATTAAACCAATTAATTGTTAGTACATTTAAGTATTGCAAATTATTTTGCTTCAACATTTGAGATATATATCTGACATAATCCTATGGATTATCTAAAAGATTTTTTAAAAGTAATTTAGCCTATCTAAAATCAATGCTTGATGAAGGGAAAGGAAGATGGCATGTGTGTGTGGATTGAAAAAAAATTAGATTTTCAATTTAGTCCCTCAAAAAAATATTATATTATTAGCCAGATCCTCTCTTACAACCTCAACTTTGGTCTTTTTGATTCTCAATTTAACTGTGACTAACATCATTAAAAAACAACATATTCTCACCTTTGATTTTTTAATTTTAAATTTAAATTTAAGTAATATTGTAAAAAAAACATATCTTTCACTCTCTACCTGAAATTTATAAATTATATATAAGTCATATGAAAATCATGTACTTTGTTTTCTTGTCCGTAATTTACGAGTCATATATTGCGTTATTATAGATTCAATTAATCTTTTCAAATTCTTTTCACATTTTTTTTAAATCACAAATAGCACAAAAACTGTATCCAAAGTCATTTTTCTCATGTTGCTCTCATCAGGAACAAACAAACTTACAAATATATATCACAAATAATAAAAAATGCTTCTCTTTACCAAAAAAAAAAAACACACTTAAATTTCTCTCTCTTTTTTTTTTTTTGATTTATTTGTTATATAATGATGTTTCATTCTTCTTGTAGATCCATTTGTAAGGTTTTAGGATTTTTTTATCAATTTTTTTTAAAATTATAGAAATTAATTGTTATGAACCGGGGCGAAGATTAAAATTTACCCACAGGCCAAGGACGGAAATTAAAATTTTTCCGCTTACGGGGGTAGTCAGGGTGGATAAATATTTTTGAAGTAGGTACAGGAGTGGAGATTATTCCCCCGTCTCCGTGCTGATCCACTTCCATTCTTAGTAGTGAGTTTTAATAAATTTTAAGACTCACAATTAAATTAGGGGCAATGATTAATTATATCACCAACCAAAATAACACAATTCAAAAATAATAATATAAAAATAACACGACACGTGTAAATTGACATCGCTAGAGTGATGTTGCCTTAAAGGAGTCATGTATATTTGGTGCGATTTTATAAATAGCCTAAAGTCACCTATATATGGGTTTNTAATCTTAATTCTTGTGTAGATCAACCTTAACACTACACAATAAAAAACAAGTTATGGAGTTGACTATTGTTGCGAATTTTTCTTTTGTGAGTTGTTTTTATTGTATTTGTGAATATTTTTATCATTGTTATAGTACCAAAAAAATAATAAAAATAGTAATCATAACAGTGATAAAAACATCTATAAATGTGATAAAAACACCTACAAAAATAATAAATTTTTTTGTATGGAAGAAAAGTAATAAAAAAAAATATCACAAATGTGATAAAAATACCCACAAAAGTTATAAATCACCTACAAAAGTGATAAATTTTTATGTTGTAAAATGACCCATAAAAATTATAAAAATATCTTTTAAAATAGTAAATTTTGGAGGTACGGTAACAACTTTATTTTTTGTCGGTACAATAGTCAAATCCACAAGAATCTAACGTATTAATTGAATATGTCAAATTAAGATTAATTAATCTATATCTATATCTATACTACTATAAATTGTCAACAAAAGTGAAAAATTTTGATTGACTATGATAACTTTAATAAAATATTTAATGCCCATGCTATCCAACTTTTCACATATAATAGAAAAATTAATACTATTTATAATTGTGGGAGTTGGGTAGAGTATTGGACTTTTGTAATTAACAAAGAATAATGGATAATTCCCATTTTTTCAAACACAAATTATAATGTAATCCCCCAAGCTGCTAAACTTTTCAACTCCACACTCCACCGGTCTTTCCTTCCTCCTCCTGCATCTCATTTTTACTCTTTGTTATATGTGCCTACTCAGGCCAACATTCTCATTTCACCTTCCTGTATTCAGCCATTGACTTATTAGGTAATCCCTCAATCTTCTTCTGTCTCTTGCATTTTAGGTTCACACCCTCTCTCTCCCTACCTCTTTTCTTTTGCATCTCCTGATTGTTGGAGATTAAAGTAAGTTAGCCCCTGAAAAACAATCAAAAGAGTCTTCTGGTATATTATCACACTGAATTCAAAGGAGGGTTGATTCACCATTTCTGGGGGGAAAAGAAATTAACCTAAAACTTTGATTCTTCACATTTTTAAATCATTTGCCAAACCATTTTTGAGACTGCAACGAAATTTTTGTTTTGTTTTTTTCTTTTGGGCATTTGTATTTGTTTGGTGGACATAAAAAAATTTATATTTTATTGATAAATCATAATTAGGAGCATGTCAATCAAATATTGTATTTAGGCCCTTCTAAATTAAACCAATTAATTGTTAGTACATTTAAGTATTGCAAATTATTTTGCTTCAACATTTGAGATATATATCTGACATAATCCTATGGATTATCTAAAAGATTTTTTAAAAGTAATTTAGCCTATCTAAAATCAATGCTTGATGAAGGGAAAGGAAGATGGCATGTGTGTGTGGATTGAAAAAAAATTAGATTTTCAATTTAGTCCCTCAAAAAAATATTATATTATTAGCCAGATCCTCTCTTACAACCTCAACTTTGGTCTTTTTGATTCTCAATTTAACTGTGACTAACATCATTAAAAAACAACATATTCTCACCTTTGATTTTTTAATTTTAAATTTAAATTTAAGTAATATTATAAAAAAAACATATCTTTCACTCTCTACCTGAAATTTATAAATTATATATAAGTCATATGAAAATCATGTACTTTGTTTTCTTGTCCGTAATTTACGAGTCATATATTGCGTTATTATAGATTCAATTAATCTTTTCAAATTCTTTTCACATTTTTTTTAAATCACAAATAGCACAAAAACTGTATCCAAAGTCATTTTTCTCATGTTGCTCTCATCAGGAACAAACAAACTTACAAATATATATCACAAATAATAAAAAATGCTTCTCTTTACCAAAAAAAAAAAACACACTTAAATTTCTCTCTTTTTTTTTTTTTTTGATTTATTTGTTATATAATGATGTTTCATTCTTCTTGTAGATCCATTTGTAAGGTTTTATGATTTTTTTATCAATTTTTTTTTAAAATTATAGAAATTAATTGTTATGAACAGGGGCGAAGATTAAAATTTACCCACAGGCCAAGGACGGAAATTAAAATTTTTCCGCTTACGGGGGTAGTCAGGGTGAATAAATATTTTTGAAGTAAGTACAGGAGTGGAGATTATTCCCCCGTCTCCGTGCTGATCCACTTCCATTCCTAGTAGTGAGTTTTAATAAATTTTAAGACTCACAATTAAATTAGGGGCAATGATTAATTAAATCAACAAATTATATCACCAACCAAAATAACACAATTCAAAAATAATAATATAAAAATAACACGACACGTGTAAATTGACATCCCTAGAGTGATGTTGCCTTAAAGGGGTCATGTATATTTGGTGCGATTTTATAAATAGCCTAAAGTCACCTATATATGGGTTTATGGGCCTTCAGTGGGCCTTAAACAGGCTGAGGTTCAATTAAAAGTCACAAATATGGAAGTTCAATTGGACCAAAATATAAGCTCAGTGTGCTGCTCAGCCCATCCCCCACTGGTACAAACCAAACCCTAGTAGCTATACCTATATAAAGTTCACAATCCGTAGGGTTTTACATTTCTCATCAACACGCACTTCACACGCATAGTGGAGAGAGAGAGAGAGAGAGAGAGAGAGAAAGGACGGAGCAAAGATGCCGGCGGGTCATGGTCTTCGTGCACGAACACGTGATCTTTTCTCGCGTGGGTTCAGGAAGAAGGGGACGATCCCTTTGTCGACGTACCTGAAGATCTACCACATCGGAGACTATGTCGACGTCAAGGTGAACGGTGCTGTCCACAAGGGTATGCCCCACAAGTTCTACCATGGCCGTACTGGTCGTGTCTGGAACGTCACCAAGCGCGCCATCGGTGTCGAAGTAAACAAGCAGGTCGAATTCAGATCTCTCTATCATCTTTCCGAGTTAGAGTACGTTTTGTAGTGGAAGTTAGGGAATATTATGAAGTGTTTGATGTTTTATATGTAGAGAAATGGCGGAATGTGGAGATAAATGATGTTTGATAAAATTGGTTTTTTAATAATCGTGTACATGTTTTGCTGTACGTATACATGAATGATTGACTGTACAGATAATATAGGGGGCTAGTTTGGGTTAAAAATGGAACTGTATGTCTGGGTATACTCTCGGCACTGTATATATGTAGATGGGCTTTTGTTTGTTTCTGAAGGTGCTTGATGGTTTATTTGTGAAGAAATGATGGTTTATGCACATGGACTTTCTATAATTTTATCATGTAGGCCAATTTGTGTCTATTTTGGGATAGTCTATGTATTGAAAAAATTATGGTTATGCATATGGATTTTCTATAATTTTATCATGTAGGCCAATTTGTGTCTGTTTGTCTTGTGGTAGTCTATGAGAGACATACAAGTCACATGCAATAATTTTGGGTTCTGAGTTCTGAACATTGTTTTAGTTTTTATGGAAACATATAGATATGTTCTGTTTGCTCCTAAAGCTCCATTGGGGTTTTAGCTCTTACGTTTTTGGGTGTGCTATGTGTTTTACCCTATTCAGTTTTCACTGGAGGAATAAAAGAAGTTGTCGTTTTAGTTACCTGCTTAACGCTGGCCCATTCTTTCATGGAGATCAATTAGAAAAAAATTATGAACACGATATTTGTACCGTACAATGCCTCAACCTTTACTCAGTAGCTTTTCTCTTCCTTTGATTGTGGTACTGATTTTAAGAAACAGCTTAAACTTCTAATTTGTTTTGCTCTCCGAGCAGTTCTTATCCAAAGTTAACAATTCCTACTGAGTTCCAATATCACTTGGTTGATGCTTGTCAAACTTAAGTTCAGAATAGTCTTTGTACAAGATAATAGAAAGCTATGGGTGATGAGATCGTTAAAATTGCAACCAGAAAGGATCAAATGTACTGAAGCCAAAAGGTCTCAACAATGCTGATCCCTAATTTGGACTGCACCAAATTTAAAAGTGTATTCCTGAACGGCAATTAGAAGGCATTGTTATTGGGGTAACTTATTCCGTAAGCCTCGTAGATAAATGACTCTCTCGAGTTTCGATCCAATGCATTCCCACACCTTAGAACTGGTAAAAGGGGCAGCAATGATAATGAGGCTCAGGTCTGTAATAGGGCGTAATTGAACATGAGTTTGAGTTTTGGCATGCCAGTGATTTGGTGGTGTTATGGTGCCGACCTAAATGTAACGAATATTCTATAGCACTCCTTTTCTTCTACAAGCCTGAAAGCCTTTTCCCTGGCCAAGTTTACTGACTGAAATGCTCTTCAGACTGCCTTATAATGTGTCAGCGTAATATGTTTAGAATGACCTATAAAGTTGCTCACTCAATATGAGATTAATATCAAATTGAATGAAGTTGTCTCACTGCAAGTATTTATAGCTGGTGGATATTTTTTTATTTTTTATGTAACTTGCATTTGTGAATAATGTTCACCTTGTGCTGTCTTTTTTGTTTATTGTTTAGCACATAAGACACTTGATTTTGAACCATTTTATGACATTTATGAGAACAATGAATTACCCTCTTTGCGGTTTTATTGAATTGATTGTGGCATAACTTTGTGGGTTTTCATATGCTGGTAACTTGATTGAACTAAGCTGTGCTGCACGTACATGGATCCAGGTTGGCAACAGGATCATCAAGAAGAGGATCCATGTTCGTGTGGAGCATGTTCAGCCTTCCCGGTGCACAGAAGAATTTAAGCTGAGGAAGAAGAAAAATGATCAATTGAAAGCTGATGCAAAGGCTCGAGGTGAGATCGTCAGCACAAAGAGGCGGCCAGAGGGCCCCAAACCAGGTTTCATGGTTGAGGGTGCAACTCTGGAGACTGTAACGCCAATTCCATATGACGTGGTCAATGATCTCAAGGGTGGTTATTAATCAGCTTTTTCTGGATTAGTCTTGTTTGGTTTATGTGTTGTGAACGTCTGAAAACCGGATTTGTTAATCTTTACAAGTGGTCCACTGTAGACCTTTTTTTGGGCGATGTTTTGTTTTGCAATTAGTAGTGAAACTTGGTTACTGAAATATTGAATCCAATGAATCTAGAGATTCTCTATAAAATTGTCATTTGTGTTCCCTTTTTTTCCCCAATGTCAGGAAAAAAAGTTGTGCAGAGGTTTGAGCATTCTCCTAGAATCATCATCATCCATGCCATAAAGCATGACGAAACATTGTAGCTACTGTTGTTTGTGTTGTTGGATTTTTGTTCAAAGAGGTTGTAAGGAAAATTTGAGGGGCAAAAGATCCTTTGCTGTACAGCACTCAATAAGATGTCACGTCAAATATAAAATGATGTCGTTTTGTGTGGAGGAGCTCCCCCGCCTTTCAAGAGCTTTGGGCTACTACTATTGGTGTTGAGTACACGATTTAATCATTCAATATGTCCATATTGCTGGGAGTTGCAAATGTATGACATTGTCATTTAAAGCGCAAGTGTGTTAGTCATATTTTTTTATTGGGCAGTACAACATATCCAGGCCACCAATGGTGTTTGTTCAAATCATTGCAAAGCTCTGCTAATGCATTCTATGCTGAGAATAATAGAAATAGAATTCCTACTGCTTCATTCATCTTTCCCCGAGTATGAACATGAAGCTGCACAAATAGTTGATTGACAACAGGGCACTAGGAGGATAATTTTTAACACGAGAAATTTAAGCGTTCGATTAATGCGAGTGGAAAATACGTTGTGTCAGTGTCAAACAAATTCTATTTTGACATGATAAATCCATTTCATTGGTTTTTTTTATGAAGATGGTATCAGAATCTTTTGCCTTTTTTTATTTTTTAATCAAATTTTAAATGAACATTAAATGATTTTTGATTTTACGTTAATAGTATGTGGATGAAGGAGATTTTTTATTTATGAAAATTTGCAATACTTGATTTTTTATTTACGAAATTTATGTGTGGTAGATTTGGTATAAGAGAAAAGAATTCTAATTTTATTGTTCATAAATTATACAATCGAACACAATATGAATATGAAGTAAATCTCGGATACTTTGCACAAGCTTCTTTTGCTCCAAGCATGAGCCCTTTTCACCTTAGATTTGACAAAAACATCAAGCACACTTCTTAGAATTAAAATAACAATTCGAGAAGTAAAAGTTCAGAAATGGCATGGCATAAGGAGTGAGTACAAAGAAAAGAACTTGTGCCCAAGCAAAGGAACTTGTTAAGCTGTGATAAAGTGAGTTAGGGCTTCAAGATACTCTAATGAAAATGCCCTTCTTACTCGCTCTTTCTTCTAAGACTAAACTCTTGAGAGACTTAAACTATAGAACATAAAAATTGTTATTAGAAAACATTAATGCACGTCGCAAGATTGGTGGGTTTGAACTTCTGGATTTGGATTGACTTAACTTTGAGATTTTTGTACTTACTAAAATACGAGAATTCTTATTCTATTTGTCAAGCATTTTGCTTTCAAATTTGAGAAATACGCCCGTTGGAAGATAATCCTCACATTTATTTAACTTATTACTACTTTACAACTTACTCCAGCTCTGAGAATAAGAATCTCCACCTTTGCATATATAGGGGCACTTGCCTTGACAGCAAGTTAAAAACTTTCAAAAGGAAAACTTGGATTTGGACCACCCAAATTGGAGTTTGGAGATGAAGGTGAAGATATCACATGCACTCTTATCCTTCCTGCTCTTGCTTATTGTCTCCTCAGGTCTCTCTCTCTCTCTCTCTCAAACACACACACACTCATTGGGACAAAGGGTATCTTTCATGGTTTAGAGATACAAAGCATAGTTATTGCATATGCAACAAATCTAAATACAAGAATAGTTAGGGACTTTGTCCAAGAAAAAAGCCCAGATGTTGATTGTCTCAATTTTGAATTTTGTCGTCAGTTTCAATCATCTATTATAAAATTAATGTGTTTCTTCTAGCATGTTTTTATAGGTCCACTAACACCCCGTGGGATCAAATGAAATTAACGATAAAATAAAATCATACCTCATAAGAAGATCTAAAAAATAAGTGGTAGAAAGCATTATTCTCATTTTGAAGAGGTTGATTATCAAACTTGCTTATGGTAGATCATCTAAACATGGGAGTATTTGTCGTCGCTATAGGTCTGACCTTGGCATCTCTTTTTTAAATTTGAGTTTGACTTTGATTCCTTTTTTTTCTTGACAGTTGAGGTTTCCCGAGTCTCCGTCGCTCATGGAGCTCATGCTATAAGGATTCCAGAGCACACGTGTAGTAAACGAATCGGATGGAGCAAATGTGACTGGCAGAAATGCATTCGGAAATGCTCCAAAGAGTCTTCTGGCGTGGGGAAGTGCAGAGACGCCATTTGTGTTTGCACATATTATTGTAAGCAACCTCCACAGTAACACACAGTTCCCTCCATCCCTCTTTCTTTCTCTCTCTCTCTCCCCCCCCNGATGTTTTGTTTTGCAATTAGTAGTGAAACTTGGTTACTGAAATATTGAATCCAATGAATCTAGAGATTCTCTATAAAATTGTCATTTGTGTTCCCTTTTTTTCCCCAATGTCAGGAAAAAAAGTTGTGCAGAGGTTTGAGCATTCTCCTAGAATCATCATCATCCATGCCATAAAGCATGACGAAACATTGTAGCTACTGTTGTTTGTGTTGTTGGATTTTTGTTCAAAGAGGTTGTAAGGTATCTTTGAGGGGCAAAAGATCCTTTGCTGTACAGCACTCAAAAAGATGTCACGTCAAATATAAAATGATGTCGTTTTGTGTGGAGGAGCTCCCCGGCCTTTCAAGAGCTTTGGGCTACTACTATTGGTGTTGAGTACACGATTTAATCATTCAATATGTCCATGTTGCTGGGAGTTGCAAATGTATGACATTGTCATTTAAAGCGCAAGTGTGTTAGTCATNGCACGAACACGTGATCTTTTCTCGCGTGGGTTCAGGAAGAAGGGGACGATCCCTTTGTCGACGTACCTGAAGATCTACCACATCGGAGACTATGTCGACGTCAAGGTGAACGGTGCTGTCCACAAGGGTATGCCCCACAAGTTCTACCATGGCCGTACTGGTCGTGTCTGGAACGTCACCAAGCGCGCCATCGGTGTCGAAGTAAACAAGCAGGTCGAATTCAGATCTCTCTATCATCTTTCCGAGTTAGAGTACGTTTTGTAGTGGAAGTTAGGGAATATTATGAAGTGTTTGATGTTTTATATGTAGAGAAATGGCGGAATGTGGAGATAAATGATGTTTGATAAAATTGGTTTTTTAATAATCGTGTACATGTTTTGCTGTACGTATACATGAATGATTGACTGTACAGATAATATAGGGGGCTAGTTTGGGTTAAAAATGGAACTGTATGTCTAGGTATACTCTCGGCACTGTATATATGTAGATGGGCTTTTGTTTGTTTCTGAAGGTGCTTGATGGTTTATTTGTGAAGAAATGATGGTTTATGCACATGGACTTTCTATAATTTTATCATGTAGGCCAATTTGTGTCTATTTTGTGATAGTCTATGTATTGAAAAAATTATGGTTATGCATATGGATTTTCTATAATTTTATCATGTAGGCCAATTTGTGTCTGTTTGTCTTGTGGTAGTCTATGAGAGACATACAAGTCACATGCAATAATTTTGGGTTCTGAGTTCTGAACATTGTTTTAGTTTTTATGGAAACATATAGATATGTTCTGTTTGCTCCTAAAGCTCCATTGGGGTTTTAGCTCTTACGTTTTTGGGTGTGCTATGTGTTTTACCCTATTCAGTTTTCACTGGAGGAATAAAAGAAGTTGTCGTTTTAGTTACCTGCTTAACGCTGGCCCATTCTGTCATGGAGATCAATTAGAAAAAAATTATGAACACGATATTTGTACCGTACAATGCCTCAACCTTTACTCAGTAGCTTTTCTCTTCCTTTGATTGCGGTACTGATTTTAAGAAACAGCTTAAACTTCTAATTTGTTTTGCTCTCCGAGCAGTTCTTATCCAAAGTTAACAATTCCTACTGAGTTCCAATATCACTTGGTTGATGCTTGTCAAACTTAAGTTCAGAATAGTCTTTGTACAAGATAATAGAAAGCTATGGGTGATGAGATCGTTAAAATTGCAACCAGAAAGGATCAAATGTACTGAAGCCAAAAGGTCTCAACAATGCTGATCCCTAATTTGGACTGCACCAAATTTAAAAGTGTATTCCTGAACGGCAATTAGAAGGCATTGTTATTGGGGTAACTTATTCCGTAAGCCTCGTAAATAAATGACTCTCTCGAGTTTCGATCCAATGCATTCCCACACCTTAGAACTGGTAAAAGGGGCAGCAATGATAATGAGGCTCAGGTCTGTAATAGGGCGTAATTGAACATGAGTTTGAGTTTTGGCATGCCAGTGATTTGGTGGTGTTATGGTGCCGACCTAAATGTAACGAATATTCTATAGCACTCCTTTTCTTCTACAAGCCTGAAAGCCTTTTCCCTGGCCAAGTTTACTGACTGAAATGCTCTTCAGACTGCCTTATAATGTGTCAGCGTAATATGTTTAGAATGACCTATAAAGTTGCTCACTCAATATGAGATTAATATCAAATTGAATGAAGTTGTCTCACTGCAAGTATTTATAGCTGGTGGATATTTTTTTATTTTTTATGTAACTTGCATTTGTGAATAATGTTCACCTTGTGCTGTCTTTTTTGTTTATTGTTTAGCACATAAGACACTTGATTTTGAACCATTTTATGACATTTATGAGAACAATGAATTACCCTCTTTGCGGTTTTATTGAATTGATTGTGGCATAACTTTGTGGGTTTTCATATGCTGGTAACTTGATTGAACTAAGCTGTGCTGCACGTACATGGATCCAGGTTGGCAACAGGATCATCAAGAAGAGGATCCATGTTCGTGTGGAGCATGTTCAGCCTTCCCGGTGCACAGAAGAATTTAAGCTGAGGAAGAAGAAAAATGATCAATTGAAAGCTGATGCAAAGGCTCGAGGTGAGATCGTCAGCACAAAGAGGCGGCCAGAGGGCCCCAAACCAGGTTTCATGGTTGAGGGTGCAACTCTGGAGACTGTAACGCCAATTCCATATGACGTGGTCAATGATCTCAAGGGTGGTTATTAATCAGCTTTTTCTGGATTAGTCTTGTTTGGTTTATGTGTTGTGAACGTCTGAAAACCGGATTTGTTAATCTTTACAAGTGGTCCACTGTAGACCTTTTTTTGGGCGATGTTTTGTTTTGCAATTAGTAGTGAAACTTGGTTACTGAAATATTGAATCCAATGAATCTAGAGATTCTCTATAAAATTGTCATTTGTGTTCCCTTTTTTTCCCCAATGTCAGGAAAAAAAGTTGTGCAGAGGTTTGAGCATTCTCCTAGAATCATCATCATCCATGCCATAAAGCATGACGAAACATTGTAGCTACTGTTGTTTGTGTTGTTGGATTTTTGTTCAAAGGGGTTGTAAGGAAAATTTGAGGGGCAAAAGATCCTTTGCTGTACAGCACTCAATAAGATGTCACGTCAAATATAAAATGATGTCGTTTTGTGTGGAGGAGCTCCCCCGCCTTTCAAGAGCTTTGGGCTACTACTATTGGTGTTGAGTACACGATTTAATCATTCAATATGTCCATATTGCTGGGAGTTGCAAATGTATGACATTGTCATTTAAAGCGCAAGTGTGTTAGTCATATTTTTTTATTGGGCAGTACAACATATCCAGGCCACCAATGGTGTTTGTTCAAATCATTGCAAAGCTCTGCTAATGCATTCTATGCTGAGAATAATAGAAATAGAATTCCTACTGCTTCATTCATCTTTCCCCGAGTATGAACATGAAGCTGCACAAATAGTTGATTGACAACAGGGCACTAGGAGGATAATTTTTAACACGAGAAATTTAAGCGTTCGATTAATGCGAGTGGAAAATACGTTGTGTCAGTGTCAAACAAATTCTATTTTGACATGATATGAAGATGGTATCAGAATCTTTTGCCTTTTTTTATTTTTTAATCAAATTTTAAAATGAACATTAAATGATTTTTGATTTTACATTTATAGTATGTGGATGAAGGAGATTTTTTATTTATGAAAATTTGCAATACTTGATTTTTTATTTACGAAATTTATGTGTGGTAGATTTGGTATAAGAGAAAAGAATTCTAATTTTATTGTTCATAAATTATACAATCGAACACAATATGAATATGAAGTAAATCTCGGATACTTTGCACAAGCTTCTTTTGCTCCAAGCATGAGCCCTTTTCACCTTAGATTTGACAAAAACATCAAGCACACTTCTTAGAATTAAAATAACAATTCGAGAAGTAAAAGTTCAGAAATGGCATGGCATAAGGAGTGAGTACAAAGAAAAGAACTTGTGCCCAAGCAAAGGAACTTGTTAAGCTGTGATAAAGTGAGTTAGGGCTTCAAGATACTCTAATGAAAATGCCCTTCTTACTCGCTCTTTCTTCTAAGACTAAACTCTTGAGAGACTTAAACTATAGAACATAAAAATTGTTATTAGAAAACATTAATGCACGTCGCAAGATTGGTGGGTTTGAACTTCTGGATTTGGATTGACTTAACTTTGAGATTTTTGTACTTACTAAAATACGAGAATTCTTATTCTATTTGTCAAGCATTTTGCTTTCAAATTTGAGAAATACGCCCGTTGGAAGATAATTCTCACATTTATTTAACTTATTACTACTTTACAACTTACTCCAGCTCTGAGAATAAGAATCTCCACCTTTGCATATATAGGGACACTTGCCTTGACAGCAAGTTAAAAACTTTCAAAAGGAAAACTTGGATTTGGACCACCCAAATTGGAGTTTGGAGATGAAGGTGAAGATATCACATGCACTCTTATCCTTCCTGCTCTTGCTTATTGTCTCCTCAGGTCTCTCTCTCTCTCTCTCTCAAACACACACACACTCATTGGGACAAAGGGTATCTTTCATGGTTTAGAGATACAAAGCATAGTTATTGCATATGCAACAAATCTAAATACAAGAATAGTTAGGGACTTTGTCCAAGAAAAAAGCCCAGATGTTGATTGTCTCAATTTTGAATTTTGTCGTCAGTTTCAATCATCTATTATAAAATTAATGTGTTTCTTCTAGCATGTTTTTATAGGTCCACTAACACCCCGTGGGATCAAATGAAATTAACGATAAAATAAAATCATACCTCATAAGAAGATCTAAAAAATAAGTGGTAGAAAGCATTATTCTCATTTTGAAGAGGTTGATTATCAAACTTGCTTATGGTAGATCATCTAAACATNACAAGCCTGAAAGCCTTTTCCCTGGCCAAGTTTACTGACTGAAATGCTCTTCAGACTGCCTTATAATGTGTCAGCGTAATATGTTTAGAATGACCTATAAAGTTGCNGCAAGCCTGAAAGCCTTTTCCCTGGCCAAGTTTACTGACTGAAATGCTTTTCAGACTGCCTTATAATGTGTCAGCGTAATATGTTTAGAATGACCTATAAAGTTGCTCACTCAATATGAGATTAATATCAAATTGAATGAAGTTGTCTCACTGCAAGTATTTATAGCTGGTGGATATTTTTTTATTTTTTATGTAACTTGCATTTGTGAATAATGTTCACCTTGTGCTGTCTTTTTTGTTTATTGTTTAGCACATAAGACACTTGATTTTGAACCATTTTATGACATTTATGAGAACAATGAATTACCCTCTTTGCGGTTTTATTGAATTGATTGTGGCATAACTTTGTGGGTTTTCATATGCTGGTAACTTGATTGAACTAAGCTGTGCTGCACGTACATGAATCCAGGTTGGCAACAGGATCATCAAGAAGAGGATCCATGTTCGTGTGGAGCATGTTCAGCCTTCCCGGTGCACAGAAGAATTTAAGCTGAGGAAGAAGAAAAATGATCAATTGAAAGCTGATGCAAAGGCTCGAGGTGAGATCGTCAGCACAAAGAGGCGGCCAGAGGGCCCCAAACCAGGTTTCATGGTTGAGGGTGCAACTCTGGAGACTGTAACGCCAATTCCATATGACGTGGTCAATGATCTCAAGGGTGGTTATTAATCAGCTTTTTCTGGATTAGTCTTGTTTGGTTTATGTGTTGTGAACGTCTGAAAACCGGATTTGTTAATCTTTACAAGTGGTCCACTGTAGACCTTTTTTTGGGCGATGTTTTGTTTTGCAATTAGTAGTGAAACTTGGTTACTGAAATATTGAATCCAATGAATCTAGAGATTCTCTATAAAATTGTCATTTGTGTTCCCTTTTTTTCCCCAATGTCAGGAAAAAAAGTTGTGCAGAGGTTTGAGCATTCTCCTAGAATCATCATCATCCATGCCATAAAGCATGACGAAACATTGTAGCTACTGTTGTTTGTGTTGTTGGATTTTTGTTCAAAGGGGTTGTAAGGAAAATTTGAGGGGCAAAAGATCCTTTGCTGTACAGCACTCAATAAGATGTCACGTCAAATATAAAATGATGTCGTTTTGTGTGGAGGAGCTCCCCCGCCTTTCAAGAGCTTTGGGCTACTACTATTGGTGTTGAGTACACGATTTAATCATTCAATATGTCCATATTGCTGGGAGTTGCAAATGTATGACATTGTCATTTAAAGCGCAAGTGTGTTAGTCATATTTTTTTATTGGGCAGTACAACATATCCAGGCCACCAATGGTGTTTGTTCAAATCATTGCAAAGCTCTGCTAATGCATTCTATGCTGAGAATAATAGAAATAGAATTCCTACTGCTTCATTCATCTTTCCCCGAGTATGAACATGAAGCTGCACAAATAGTTGATTGACAACAGGGCACTAGGAGGATAATTTTTAACACGAGAAATTTAAGCGTTCGATTAATGCGAGTGGAAAATATGTTGTGTCAGTGTCAAACAAATTCTATTTTGACATGATATGAAGATGGTATCAGAATCTTTTGCCTTTTTTTATTTTTTAATCAAATTTTAAA